ATTTAGCCTTCACCCAGACTGTTAGTGTTGGCTGGTATTCTTGTTTTTTACCTTTTCTAGGCTCTCTTGCAGTAGGTTTGGTGATATGACTAGTTACATAAATGAAACTAGTCAACTGAATGGAATATGAGTGAAGTGATCACTGCCACCTCTGAAAGCCGAGTGGTTATATGTCAGTAGTACCTTTCCTATGGTCCCTTTCTCTCTCTCCTACCACAATCCACTAGCTTAGAAAAGCCAGGTGACACTAAAGTCATATGACACAGGTCTACAAAATGGAAGCAGCCTGAGTTTCTGAGTCTGCCTACATTACACAGGTTGAACCCACATCAAATGGAATGTAACCAAGAAATAATCTTGTATTGAACCACATAGATTTCTGGGTTATTTGTTATGAAGCCTAACCTATATTACCCTATGAGATGAGTACTATTCAAATCATAAGGTATCAAGGCTTTTGTGAATACTTATTTAAAATGAGAATGACAATTAGAGAACCCAACTTGCTGTGAAATAAAGTAATAGAGAGCGAATACTTGGTCTATTCTCTGACACACTGTAAGTACTTGATTTCTCATCTCCCTCCAGTGGTATTTACCAGTATACCCACTTTACATCTGAATCAACTAGCTTCAAACAGAGCCTAACTACATATCTCACCTTAATTTTTTTTGGATATTCCTCCACCAGAGTTATTTTTATTACTTCTCTATGATTTTAAATCTTAGCAAACTTTTGAGGTTTAACTAAAAATGTGCCCCTTTAACCAAGGCAGTTTCTCCTGGTCACACTAAACTGAGGTGATTTTTCCAAATTTCTAAAGCATATGTGTTGCCTACAATAATCATTTGACACTAGTGTTTTATTAGGTACAAAAAAATCTAAGAGTTAAATGTGTAGATTTTGAAGCCAGACTGCATCAGTTAGATTTCCTTATTCCTCTACTTGATAGCTTGATGTAACCTTGGTCAAGTTATTTAGCCTTTATGCGACTCAGTTTTCTCAACTATAAAATGGGATGCAGGGTTACATACATACTGATTTAGGCATACTGTGTAGATTAAATGAGAATAGTGTTGAATATAAAGTGAATGCTATATTAGTGTATTTGATCATTATTATTTTTCATGGTTATCAATCTTGTCATACATTTTGTATCCCTAACATGATTAGAAAAATGACTTGAAATTATGGGTTACATTAAATTTCATTCATAATGTCCAATATGTTAGGACGCTACACACAGAAGTTCACTAAATACTTGGTGATTGAGTAATAGATATATAATCTGGCTAATGTGGTAATGGGAAATAGTAAATTTTTGTTAGCTTACCGAGTTCTAGGAATTGTTCTAAATAAATTATGTAGATTATACCATTCAGTTCCCATAACCACCCCATGAGATGATCATCCTCATTTTACTACTGAGGATTCAGAGACATAAAAATGTTAAATCAGAACTGGGCATGATGGCACGCACCTGTTATCCCTGCTACTCAGCATGCTTTGGTAAAGAAAATGCTTAAGCCCGAGAGTTCAAGGACAACCTGGGCAACACAGAAAGACCCCATATTTAAAAATGAAAATTATGTTACTTGTCCAGGATCATACAGTATGGGGTAGGGATAGAATATCCTTGTTTTAAAATGGCGATTTTCAAACTTTAGCATATATCTGAATTATCAAAAGGGGTTGTTAATGTACAGATTGTTGAACACCATTCCTAAGGTTCTGATTCAGTAAGTGTTGATGGTGTCAAAAATTCTGCATTTCTACCGGTTTTCCAGGTGATGATGAATGATGTCAAGAGTCACACCTTTAGAACCATTATACTAGGTCATACGCTTTCCTCTGTGCTATATGTGAGGAAATATAACACAGCTTAATGTGCATATGGAAAAGATATTTCTAAACAGTAAGTTGACAAATTTTTTTTCTAAAACGTGGAAACATGCCAGATTTCCCTAAATAACAGTGTGCAATTAGAAACTTTTTGGGAAACCAAGCTCTAAAGATAAAAGAAAGAATGGACTTTCTGGGCCAAGATAACTCTTCTAAGATACACAAGATACCAATATGCAGTAAATTACACAGGTGTTTGAGTTGGTGTAAAAATGCTTCTATCTTCTTAACCAAAGACCAAGTAACAAATCCAATTAATCTATACCAGGCATCCCCAAACTATAGGCCCGAGGGCCGCATGCGGCCCCCTGAGGTCATTTATCTGGCCCCCCGCTGCACTTCAGGACATCTTTCACTGGTGGTCAGTAAGAGGAACACAGTATGTGGCAGCCCTCCAACGGTCTGAGGGACAGTGAACTGGCCCCCTGTGTAAAAAGTTTGGGGACGCCTGATCTAGAAAGAGTGTCAGAGGTTAGCAGTAGCCTCAGACAAGAGTGGGAAGAGAGACTATTCCCCAGACTCTCGTAGCTTGTTCTAGGTACATTAAGTCAGATATAGTACTTTTAAACATAACCAGACATTTAATTATTCTGTAACATATCTTATACTCCTTTAAAGTTGTTAGATCCCAGAGTCTTTCAGGACATAACCACACCTTGCAGAGAAATCAAATCAGGGCAAAGAGTTAACAGCTTTTGCATTAGGATCAGGTGTTACAGCAATTTCTTTTTAGTCTATGTTTTGTCTATAAATGCATTTTCACTGTCTGAACAAGTTGACAAGTTTTTCTGATTTGATTTAAACTCTAATGGTCCCAATACATATTTTGCTACCTTTATTTTCATAAATGTGTGCCTTCCCCTATACTTAGCATGTTTGTATTGCCAAACTTACTTTCCTAAATTATAGCCCTGTTTATGCTTGGCTTGTCCTGCCTTGATGTGCCAGGAAATGACCATATAAAAATATCAAATATACAATAAATAATGTAAAACCATCTCACAAGTGAATGTTTTGAGCATTAAAAAAAGACAAAAGTATAGAATGATCACCAATTCCACAGTGGAAAATTTCACAGTGGACATATGCAAATTATTTCAGTATTCTGATAGGTAATTCACTTAAGCTTGGGCAAATCAATAATGTGTTGTTGATATGTAAGAAAAAGCCATCTAAGGTCAGGGGAAAGAACCAACAGAAACTGAAGGCCAAACTATAGGAACTGACATATGAGATTAGTTTCCACAGCCAAAGTTAAAGGGATACATACAAAACTGGGTGCGGTGGCTCATACCTGTAATCCCACCACTTTAGGAGGCTGAGGTGGGAGGATTTTTTGAGCCCAGGATTTCAAGACCAGCGTGTCTCTGTATACTATAAATCTGGAAAAATACTCAGAAAGTTGGCATCATAGTAGTAGGGCTAAATTACATTAGTCCATAGATTTCTTTGGACCATTCTAACAGAACTTAAAAGCAAGCCTAGAAAGTATTCACTAGTGCCAAGTAACTTAGCTGCTGCACACCAAATACAAAATGGAGGCTATTTAAAGTAATACAATGAAATTAAGCATTGGGAATATAAAATTCAAAATGTCCAGAATATAACCAATACAGATCAGGCACGCAATGAAGCAGAGGAATATGATCCAGAATCAGTGAAAAAAATCAATGCAAGTAGACCTTCAAATGATAGAGATGATGAAAAGAACAGATAAGGATGTTAAAATAATACAACCATTATTAATATTTTCCATATGTTCAATAAGGTTCTAGAAAACATGAGCATGCTTAGAAGATAAATTATAAATGTTTAAGAAATACATACATTTATATAGATGAAAAATATATTTGCAATCAGAAATGAAAAATAGTCTAGATGGGATTGAACACAGAGTAGATATTTAAGCAGAAAATATCAGAGAATTTGAAGACATAGCAATAGAAACTATTCAGAGTGAGTAAGGTACAAAAAGGAGAAAAAAGAATAAGACGTAAAAGAAAACAATAGCAGCAACTTCTGGGATAATTCAAATGGTCTAATATTGTTGAAACTGGAGTCCCACTAAGTAGTGAAAGCAAGAAGAAAACATCTGGAAAAAAAAATGGCCATAAATTTTCCAAATTTTATGAAAATGGCAGATCCAAGAGAATTCATAAATCTCAAGTAAACTAAATGTAACAACACAAAAGAATATCATGATCAAATTGCTGAAAACCAGTGATCAAGAGAAAATTTTGAAATCATCCATAGACAAACAAAGAAAGACAAGAATGTCAGCAGACATTTCTCATCAGAACCAAGGAAAGCCATAGAGACTGGAGAGATATTTTCAAAATACTGGGGAGGGACTTATTGCAAAAAGGGATGAGGTATTTTTTAAGATGATAAAAATGTCCAGTTTTTTACAAAATATTCATACTTACAAAAATGATAAAAATTATGATATGCAAGTTGTCACAAGAGTGATAATTTTTGAAAAAAGCTGGTGGCCATTTTGGGGGAAATAGTGTTAGTATATTATTAGAGGTGTACATGAGAAAACAATTCAAAAATTTTTTTCTATGAAACTTTATTAAAAATTACAAAGTATTGCTCTTGGTTTACAATAGGTATTAGGCTTTAGGTATTGCAATATTTTAAAGAGGGGCAAGAATTTACAGATGCTTATAACACAAACTTTTTAACACACCAACCTTCTCTTTTAGGAAAATAAAACCAAATTACTCTCAAAAAGGAAATACTTAAAGTAGGAAGCTATGAAATTTAAATGACTGGCAAAAACAAAAAATCCTCAACAAATATATTTTCTATAAATACAAAGCCCAAGTTAATATCACACTAAACTTGTAACATAATGAATAGTTTGCATTATAATTTTAATTTCAATTTTGTATTCATTCACATGTGTAAGAAACGTATTTTAGAATAAAAATATTTTTAAAACTACTTTTACAAAACTTTTTTGGTTTAAACTAACTTTAAGTTTTTAATTAACTTTTCCCAGGTAATTGTTATTCATAGGACAATTTTTATCAAATTGTTTTTTCTGCAACTATAATAAAGGATATTCATGGGGTGCAACAATGCTTCTTTACCTCCAGTTTGTTTCCTGAAGAAGTGGGTTTCCGGTAAGAGACAATTCACGGAGAAAACAGCATGCATCAAACCACTTGATGGCACTTGTAAGGTCTACAGAAAATAAATAACATCATTTGGAAAGGCATCAAAGATTTAGAACAAATATCATACATCTATGACCATTGTATTTACTGGTTAGCTATTAAACAAAAGCAGTATTTCATTTCTTCTGCAGAATACTATATGCTTTTTAAAGATGACTACACTGAGTTAAAAACATAGACTATTGTCAGTATATATGTTTCTACCATTTAGCAGCTGTGTGAACTTTATGGAAATCTGCTTCACAATTCAGGTTCACATCTGTCTCATAGGGTGAGGATTAAATGAGATAAAAATCTGAAGAAGTGAAATATAAAGTAATAGTTAAGTGGTAAAATTAAATATATACCTAAATAGAATTACATGAACCTTTTTACCGTTAAAAAAGTAAATATAGGCCGGGAGCATGGCTCATGCCTGTAATCCCAGCACTTTGGGAGGCTGAGGAGGGCAGATCACCTGAGGTTGGGAGTTCGAGACTAGCCTGACTAACCTGTTGAAACCTCATCTCCACTAAAAATACAAAATTAGCTGGATGCGGTGGCACATGCCTGTAATCCCAGCTACTCAGAAAGCTGAGGCAGGAGAATCGCTTGAACCCAGGAGGTGGAGGTTGCAGTAAGCCAAGATTGCACCATTGCACTTTAGCCTGAGCAACAAGAGCAAAACTCCATCTCAAAATTAAAAAAAAAAAAAAAGTAATATAGCAGAAAAATCTGGGGTACATTACAGAGAAATTTATACTGAATTGTTTTCCCACAGAAAATAACCATAAAACTGGACTATCATTCTATCTATCTATCTATCTATCTATCTATCTATCCACCCATCCATCCATGTATTGCACTTGTTTTCAAGCCTTACTCAGAGAAGGAAAACACACAGGTGAGCTTGCAATCACAGTGGTTTTCTATACAAATTCACAAAGTGGAGCACAACCAAAGGCTGTTTTGCTGAGCTGAAGAGGCAAAGATTAAAACTGAGGCTGAAATTTGTGGGGAAAAGTACAGAGAAGCTGTATTTGTGTATGCTGGGAGCAGGACAAAGTCCATATGGGGATCTACCATAGATCCTTGGAAAAGTACTAGGTGTTACACAGGCAGGAAAAAGCTCTGCATAATATACCAGAGATCATCTGCCCTAGGGATAAAAGCTGAAAGTTGATTCTAAAGTTCATGCAGCAATACAAGATACTGGAGTTGCAGCCCAGCCAACAGGAGACTTAATTGAGCATTTCAGAGATTTGGCTAGAATCCGGGACTATGCATCAGGCTTGAAGGCTATGTCCTGGGGTAGGGAGATGCACTAAGAGTTGAAAACTAAAATGACCTGTTCTAAAATAGAACAAAACTAAGCCCAGCAGGAACAAAATAATTCATCATTAATTTAATTTTCTGCAAGAATAAAAGTTAACATCCTTTAATGGAAGACAGCAACACCCTAACATACTGAAATATCTACAATGTTCTATGTAGAATTACCCACAATGTTCAAAATATAATTAAAATTTACAGACATCCAAATAGATAGAAAAAAAAACCCATAGTTACGAGAAAAGCAATTAATGAAAACACATCCCAAAGAAAACCAAATGTAAAGCAATGTTTGCACAATGATGGCAAAGTAATTCAATTATGAAAAAAAGCTTGTTCAATCAGTGTGGCTGGAACAACTGGATATCCATATAAAAAAATGAACTCAACCTCTATTTCACACCATACATAAAAATTAATCTGACATGGATTATAGGCCTAACAGTAAAAATGAAAAGTACAAAAGCTTCTAGAATAAAGCATAATTATCTTCTCAATCTGGAAATGAAAGACTTATTACAAAGGACACACAAAAATAACCATAAAATTAAAAATATCTACTCATATAAATACACCATTTAGAAAATTGATAACTAAAATAGGGGCTATAAGAAAATATTTATAAGACAATGATGTCCAGAATATGTAAATATTTTTATAAGTCAGTAAGAAAAATAAAAATAACCAAATTTTCAAAATGGATAAACATTTGAATAGACACAACAAAAGAGGTTGCAAAAATCACCAATAAACACTTGTAAAGAGGTTCAACATTTTTATTCATCAAGTCAATGCAAACTACAACCACAATGAGATAACATAGTAAATTGTTAAACACTCTCAGGAATGGAGCAATTATAACTCTCATTCCTGGTGGGGTTGTAAAATGTTCCAACTTCTTTGGAAAATAATGTGTCAGTTTCTTTAAGAGCTATACCTGCTCTATTATTCAACAATTACACTTTTACACATTTTACCCAAGAGAACAGAAAACTTATGTCTGCAAAAATATTCATACAGGAACCATAGGAACTTTGTATTCATAAGCCCCAAACCAGAAACAATCAAAGTATGTTCAACAGGGGAATGGATAAACAAATTGTGATAAATTCATACAATAAATTACACTTCAGAAAAATAAATCCATTAATAAATATATAAAGTAGTGGAATGTAGGATGAATATCACACAGATGAAACTACGGAAAAAAGGAATGTACTGTTTGATCCTATTAATATAAAGATAAAATTAATCTGTGGTGACAAATTCAGACTGTGCCTGCCTCTAGGAATGGACTGACTGGGATTGAGAATGGGACTGAGGAAATTTTGAGGAAAGTAGTCAATTCAAGTCATGATTCTTTAATAAACTTTTAATGGGTGACTACCCTATACCTGTTAGAAAGGTACACTGTTTACTCATCTTCATTAGGCTATTCATTTTATAAGTAAAAGATATATGACTTTTAAATAAAAACGTAATTGTGGCTTAGGCTAGGCCTACCAGAAAGATATGGAAATAATATGACTGTAAAAGTGAAAAGAAAATTTCAAGTGAATTATTTCAGCAGCTTTATTTTACAGGTTTATTAGATGGTAACTTATGCATTTAAAACAACCCCTTATCCTATTTGAAACAGAAAGTAAAAGTCTATTATTTAAAGTATATATGTATAGCATATGATGCTAAACTTACCAGAAAGACAATTGTGGCTGACATCTAGTTTTTCCAATGAAACAAAATGAAAAAGTGGTACAATTTTTGCTAAACTGAAAACAAAAACATAAACATCATCAAAATTCTAAATTGGAATGTCCTTAATGTAACCATTCTAACTATACAACAATACATTTATATAATACAATGATATGATTAAATACACTTTATGCAATTTTATATATACAATTATAATTGTACAATACAATTATAGCATTTGCTAACAGTGCTGTTAAAAAATGCAGTATTTAGAGACTTCTAATTATTTATGATGGAAGATTTCTATCTGTTTTTTGAAAGACATTGTGAGATTACTATTTTCAAACACAAAAATCATGGACTTTGATGTGTATTTTCCATTTAAATAAGAATAAGTGGGTTTTTGTTCTAATTATGTTATTTTGTATTCATATAAGGCCAAATTCACAAAGAATTTATGTTATTTGTATTTTTCCCACGTGAAACACGTAAGCTAAATCTTTAAGGTAGAAACTAAATATCACCTATTACCACTTTTCAACAGGAGAACTGACTAGTCACAGTTTTGTTTTCAAATTTTTTTCTTTACTAATTGAAAGTATTAGAGTACTGTAAGTAACCAAAATTAAACTGGACTTACTTTTAAATTGGAAATATACTCAATATATTAAAAAATGAGTCTAAAAACAGAATAATATAAAATGTTTTACCTCAATAGAATGGACTTAAACTTAGCCAGAATACATTGATATTTAAAATTAATATAATTATGCATATAAAATCTAATAATAAATCTTCCTCCTACATTTAAAGGTTTTCATTGTTTTCTAAGTTATAATTGTTATCAAAAACCCATATTCAAACAAAAACTGTGATATTCAAAATACCCATGTCATTGGAAACAAAAGCTATAAAGGGTAAATTAACTCGTTGGATTTGCATTGCAACTAGGAATATTCTACCCTTACTCTGTAACGTAATATCACATTACCTGTAGCTATTTAGAAATTAAAATTGAGCCAGCTCACCTGAATCTTTAAGCAAGATAAAAATTCATTTGTAAAACATATATACATATATATATATATATATGTATCACAATTAGAAAAGTCTTCTGAATTAATCCCCACTATAAAATGTCGGAATTCCATAACTGTTCAAAATATCATTTGGCTCTGGTACAAAATAAGTATGCACTAATTTTCACTTTTATTGCTTTCGTGTTTTTTATTTTCTCTTTCCAGTTGTCTTGGAAGTATCCTTTACTTCTTTTTTTCTACAAATTCCCTGCCATAGAAAACAACACCACCACCACCAACGAAAAAATAATCTATTATTTTTATATTCTCAGATAAGAAGGTCACAAAGTAACACTGTGACTGGAAGCATCATGGGGTTTGGCACAAGATTAACCCTTGTATTGACCTTCACTTCTCTCTTGTACTACCCCTTTCTGCATTAGCAGAGAGAAAGAAGATATTCTACTGATGAAAAAGTAGATTATATAATGAAGCTGGGAGAACATCTCTCTAAATGTTGTCAATCCTAAATATACAATATTACCATTTACATTAAACATATAAGATTCCACTTCTTAAAAGCAGCGTCCAGGAGAAAATTATCTAAGGTAATAAAAGTGAGAAAATATTGGCCATTACATACTTTGAATTATTTGTACATATACTCCATAACAGTGAAATTTACTGAAATCTCACATGGATATTGAAGAAAAGAAAGAAAAAAAGCTCAAAGGAAGGGAAAAGGGGTGGAGATAGATGGAGGGATAGAGGAACTTCAAGCTTTATCTATACATAGTGAGTGTGTATATATATATATATAATTACATTATATATATAAATTATTTAGTAAAAATAAAATTTTAATAAATTTACTTATTTAACAAGAATATTCTTTTTGGGCTCTACCTTTAATGTGTTTCTAATACTAACTCTTCACCCTTCTAGTGAAAGGATTTTGAAATATTAGTAGTAATGACATACTAAATCCTTCAGAATACAGTTTTTCTTTTCCTTTTTCAGAATATCTCATATTTTTAGCCAATAAGTTATATGGTGACATATAGGTTACAAAAAGACCTCAAGTGAAAATAACTAATAAAATTTTTAGAATTAAAAATCAATAAATATTTCAAAAATAAGTCAAAGAAATATCTACTTTGACAAATTCTTTTTGTAATATTGAAATTAATATTTTCAGATAACCATGCTGTTAAAATCATGTTTGTTTTCTTCTTCTGAAATTTCAATCAAGAAAACTGGCTACTCATTCACTTTTATAACTATTCATTAGGATGGTAGAAACTTAATAGCATAATCTTCTTTTAAAAAAAAAAACCTCTAGAACTTTTCCTTTCACTAACATTCGGTGTATATTTTTTTCCAAGAAAATTCAAACCAGAAAGACAAAGGACATTAGTGAAAACCTAATACCATTTGACCTTGTCACATTAGCCCTGGGCATTAAAAAGATATAAATTTCAAAGACGACAAAAAGCAAATGATTTGTACAATGAACAGCCAATGGGTAATAGTTTCCACTTTCTGCTCCTACTTAAGAGTCTCATTGGAAGCAAAAAGGCTTCTAAAGCAAGAGAGTCATCTAGTTAGAACTCCACTGAGTCAAACTTAAAACAGTCACATGTCTAAATGAAAATTTAAAACAGAAGTCAGGATGAAACAATTATTTCAAACAATATATACTAAGTATCATTCTTTGTATATATTCCATTTGTTGGGGAAGAAAGGCATATTGACACATAGTCTTCCTCGTGATGAAAATATCAAAAATTAAAGGAAATTATATATAATTTAAAATCCCTATAAAACACAAATCCAAGTATCACATTTTTAAAATTCTTCTCCTTTTCCTCTTGGATCATCATTAAAATCCCATAAAATAGGTAAGGTAGGCATTATCACTTTTACATGTGAGAAAAAAACTGAAGCTCAGATAGTGAGGGCAGAGTTGCTCAATATCCACTGTTCAAGTTATTGGTTCAATATGCAAACACAGATTTGCTGACTCAGTGTTATCAAACCTAATGCAGGTCTAAAAATATCAATTAACATGTAAGAGTTTAATTTAAAATAGATAATTTCCACAATTAATGAAAATAGACTTGTGAAATAGCCTAAAGTTGAAGACTATTTTTACACTATGATATTACAAAATCATTTTAGTATTCTACATATCCATTGCTATCAATGACATTTCCCTGATGCTCTTGGACCTTCTCCCTTCATCCTCTCAAAAATGGTAGAAGGTTACATGTACAAAGAGCTCTGAGAGACCCAGAAGAAATATACTCCAATATCAGTGACAGTATTTTTTTTTACTGCATTTTAGGTTTTGGGGTACATGTGAAGAACATGCAAGATTGTTGCATAGGTACACACATGGCAGTGTGGTTTGCTACCTTCCTTCCCCTCACCTGTATCTGTCATTTCTTATTTAAAATTTCAAAATCACATATATTATATAATAATTTTACTTTTTGGTATAGATGAGTTTTAAAAATTAAGTTCTTTTATGTCAAAATACTCTGTGGGGGTAAGGATATATATTACTCATTTTTCTATCCCCCAAATGGTAAATCCCATCTCAATACTCAAAGATTTTAAGATTAGGCAAAGAAAATTACAAATAGAAAACATTTGGATGAATAATTTTAATTATCATGATTAATTCTAACAAAATTTAATTCTCTAGTTTATATAAGTGCCATTTTATCAGCTCAATATGCATAAGCCATATCATACTGATAGAGCAAAAGTCTATCAGCTAGTATTAAATTTAATTTTTAGAAATAAACTGTCTTTGATAATTTAAATTGCCTAAAGAAATTAAAGGCATTATTTGTCAAAAACTTTTATTGAGTTTCTTTAAAATCTCTTTAAATATTTTATTCTCATTAATGTGGCTTGAGATTCACTTCAATGAAATATGTTAGGTATGTCTATTCCTCAATACCTTATTGCATATGTCCAAAACATAGCTGAACATTTCATTTTGAAAGTATATTTCTTACCTGGAAAATATTCTGAAAAGATCCAATGAGTTTGTGAATTGCCTAAATTACTTATACAGTATTATCTGATGGTGCTGGTTTTGGGAACAAATGTCCTATTAAACTCAAGTCAAATTTTAAATTTCAGATTGGATTAAAATAATTTGAGGAGATTTTTGAATACAGATTTGGTTTTCAATGCCAAAGTTTAATAGATGGAAGTTAAGTCATTTAGTATATACCTGCTTAAAAGATGAACAATATATTGTGGAAGAGACTGAGAGATGATTTTATATGTTTTGGGGGAAAATAGGTATATATGTAAAAATTATATTGTCCTTATTCATGTGTCCTGTGAGCACTGTATAACTTAAAAAAAACAATTTCTTGTTTAAGGTTGTTTCTTTCCCCTACTCCTTGTGCCTTTGATGAAGAATTAATTATATTAGAGTGAATAGATTTCAATGAAATATTAAGCAGAAGACAAATACATATATTGCGCTCCTGTTTTGGTTTAGCCAGTTATTCTCAGCAAAGATCCAGATGTCTGGTGGTCTCAAATAGATCTCTGAAGCAGGTACTCATTTCAATTTAATGTTAAGGTATTTTTTTAAGTGTTACTTTATATCCTTAGGGAAATCAAATTTAAATCCATCCTAACAGTTACAAAAAGACATGCAAGTTGAGAGCAAATTAAAAATTGTCCTTCCAGGACTTAATAAGTACCATTTGAGAGAATGAAACATCCTTCTGAATTAAATTAACTATCTCCTGTATTTTCCAAGGACTATGCTCTTTATAAACATAAACAAACAAATCTGCCCTGAGAGATTTCTGCAAGTACATCTGTGAAAAGAAGTAAAATTAGAAAGATAAATGGACAATTAAAATTCGACTAAAATTTTAGGGTATGCCAAGAAATCATTTTAATTTTTAAAAATTTTATATTATCTTTGTAATTTATATACTAATTTATTTTAATATGCTCTCATTGAATTATTAGAGAATCCTAACTTTTATGGTAGTTTATAAACATCACACATTTATTTTAAACAATCATTCACTGGATTTATTTCATAAGTAAAGTATGTCTTTACCTGTTTTGAGAGATAGTAAGAGTCTGTAATAAAGGCAGCCAGTACGAAGAGAATGCTTCCACAGTTGAAATGCTGTTATCATCCAAGTGCAATTCTCTTAGTAAAACATGATTCTCCAAGGATGGAAGCTATATTTAAATTTGGTTCATAAGTTTATATTAAGCAAAATACTTTATCATTTCGCCCAATTAAAAAATATAAAACCTTCCAAAACTAACAACAAATACATTCTGAATAAACTGCATATCATAAAGTATAATAGACTTTTACAACATGAATAAAGTTTCAATTAATTAACTTTATAATATTTAATAGTCTTGATAAAGGTTACTTCATGGTGAGAAATAAAATAACAAAAAAGTTACTCAAAATTGCTTTTAAAATGTGATTGGCATTTCTATCAAAAGAAAAATGTTGCATTAATCATAGAAATCAATTAATTCAAAGCAATTACCTCAATCAGATAATTTCCCTGTAACTTCAATATTTGGAGCAATCCACAATTTTCAATGCCCTCAACATCAGTAAGATGATTATGGGAGCAATCTAGGTATACAATGGTAGGTGTATCACAAAGACCTTTTGTACTAATTAACTGATTATGGTCCAAAATTAGTTGTTGAAGATTTTTCAAAGATTCTAAACCACCTACAAGAAAAAAGTTGTAAGATTACCTATGTCATACAGTCTTCCAGACTTTAGGGGAATTTTTCCTTTTTTTTTTTTTTAAATAATAGCAACTTCGCATTTCTCAATATCATTAATTACAAGTGAGGACTCCGTCCAAATTCCTGGTGAAACATATCTTGTAAACTGTTACTATTTAAATTGGCATCTGGGTGACATATTTTTGAAAGACATAATTATCTATCAATTGAAAATTGCACACAGTACTAAAAGGCATACTCTGGGAATGAATGCTTTATATTCAAATAAGAATGGAACAAGGGATAAACACAAGGACTTGTTTCTTAAAATAATAGTTTTCCATTCTTTCTAGAGCCTTCGATTTTTGAATCCTTGCGTCAGGTTGCATGCATAACATTAGAATGCCATTTTTCCTCCTACGTAAATACCTACCTTAGATTCCCAAATGAAGTACGTAAAATCATATCAGAACGAATGAATTAGCAGCTATTCTTCAGGTATTTCAATATTGTTGTAAGGGACCTCCTCTTTGACCAGAGAAACTTAAAACCAGTATAATACTATCTAAAAAATATTAGATGAGCCTTAGAAGCTATAACTCAGTGGTCACAAGGAAAAAAACTGAGAAAGTTGTTTAAATCAGCCATCAGGAGTTCGCATGAGAAAAATATGCTGAACAAGTCTGTAAAAGTTTCATGGAAGATATTACAAATCTAGAAAATGTTCTTTAAATTAGAGATTAGATTATTCATCTTTTCTGTGGGTGTTACTCTGTTAGTTAAAAGAAGCAATTCTAGAAACTGGATATAAAGTTTTAAGTTCTTAAGTAAGCACTAGTAAGCAGAATGTCTTCAGTGAAAACTATACACATGAGTCCCTGAGTTTACATTTTGGAGAAATGTGCTTCATTCTGTTTTTCCTGTCAAACTCCTACAAAGTAGTTTTACTAAATTAAATGTTGACACGAACATGAGTTTTTGTTTAATCAAAAAAGGTTACTTGATAATAAATTGAAATACATAATCTTCAAAATTAATATGTCTAAAAATTGATATCTGGAATTTATGAAATATATTTATCCTGAGGGAATTTAGAACATCTAACCCAAGATTTATTTTGATTATACATAAATTCACAAAATAAAAGGGTGAACAGTCTGCTTTTAATAAATGAATGAATATTATGAAATCTTGTAAGAAACTTTAATTCAGCATATATTTAAAAATTCAGATAATGCAATAGGATACTAGGTGCACTACAAACTATTTTACAAAGATACATTTCGAGATATATCTTAAATAAATTTTAAGATTACAGTATCTCTAACAGTTTGAGTGAAATAAAGTAACTTAATGTTATATATATAATTTCTTATAAAATGTTTTATGTGAAAAAGTAAATTTTCCTACAATGAGAAATAAATCATGTAATATCAAATAAAGCAGGAAATGCTTAATAGGCTTATAGAAGAAAAAACAAACTGAAATCCAAATTCAGGCTGTCCTCTTACATTTTTAAATTTTGAAACTATGATTGATGTAAATGATATTTTCCTGTAATGTAAAATAGCAATATGACTTAGAGAAAATTGCTATCTATTATTATCTGGGAATAAATGTTTCTGCCTTATCAAAAATTTGACTGAGTTAAAATAACAGACCAATTCTTTATTATAAATAGTTTATTATCTATTGTAATAAATATATATTGGCTGTCATGTAATTTAAGGTCCGCTAAAACAGAAAATGTATTGAAATTCTGTAAGCCTTACAATCATATTTGATGAGCCTCAATTAATCCACTGAAGCAGACAGCCCAGGGAAAAGAAAATACCAATTAATACAGATTAGTAGTCGTGTAAAATGAAATGTCCTTTATTAAATATTTAAATGTCTTAAGCAATGTACTTTTATAGGCTTAATGTTTTTTTTAACCACACACATAGTTCTTAAGTTTTCCAGAACTAATCTGAAATAGAAATTTCTATTAACTCATTTGGAATGAAGAACGTATTTGTGAGACTTTTCACCGGTTATCCAAGAAGAGAACCAAGAATGAAACATTAGGTTACATAATGAGGAAAGGTGCAGGATTCGGCTAAGAAAGCAGATAAAGCAGGAGAACAACTGGGAGGAGAAACAAGAAAAAGGCAAACAGAATTCTGCAATGAAGAAAGTTGTAAGTAAGAATAAATATAAAATAGTATACAATTATAAAATTGTATTATGAAAGGCATTTTTATTTATACGAAATTATATACAGTCCGCAGTATCAGGTATAGTTCACAAAGGAATCAGGTCAGTGTTTCGACAGTGATGAAACAGCTTACTAGAGGCCTTAAAGGATGAAAACCACAGTGCAGTAGAAGTGGAGACAATAATTGTAGACTACTTTTTATATTTTTTATAATGAAGAGAAGGTTCTCCAAAGCCTTGAAGATGCCTACATGACCCTCCATGACCTCCCTCTCACAATCTCGCTGAACTCATCCTCTACTACTGTCTCCTTTTCTTAGTTCATTCTAACTTGCTGGTCTCCTTGCTTTTCCTCATACTTGCTACATGTGCTTCCACCGTAGGGCTGTACATGTTAAAAACAACCATCAGTGTGCCACATATTAGTCTAGAAGGACTTAATAAGAATTATCTGCTAATATCAAATTTTTAAAGACATCATAATTTTCAATCAATGTACAAAGAAGGTACAATGAACCTATTCAGCATTCCTTTAGAGATTCCAATCTGGTGGAATAACCATGATTTCAAGCCTCAGAATATTAAGAAATATTTTACCTAGCATTTCTACTTTTATGAATTCACAACACAGTGATACATCAATATAAATGAATATATAATGATGTTCTTGCCTGTATTATTTAAATGCAAAAAATGGAGACAAATCAAATATCCATCAGTAAGGGAACAATTAAATTATGGAGTATATTCAAAATGAATATTTATAGTCTTCAATGTGTATAAGCACTAAAATGAAAGAATGTCCATGATATATTACTGTATGTAAAACCTAAGTTGCATGCATAAACTTTTAGCTATTGAGTAAACCTAAATTTAAATATATACATGAATCTTAATATAAATCTACATATCTCTCATTGTATTGCATAGGACAAGGTCTAGGATGATTCACAAACAATTGTTAACAGTGGTCACTCCTACAAAATGAGAGAAAGGAGGTAAGCAGAAAGATAAAGTTTCACCGCTTATTCTGTACACTTCTCTTTTTTAATATTTTTAAAATGAGAATTAACTTCTTGTGTAGTTTAAAAAAAAAACCACACAGTATATTTGGGAAAAGAATAAGTATTGAAAAGAACTGTTATTTTGTATTGAATTCTGACCACTATCAGCACCACCACCAACAGCAGCAAAACATGATGATTGAACTGAACGATTCAAAAATTTAGAAAAACCTGATGCTATTCTCTATTGCATGATTTTATTACATGGCCAAAGTGGGAGAATCCTCTACATAGAAAGGCATATAGATTTTAAGATGAAAGATTTAAAGAAAATTCAGCAAAAATATTTTTAAAAGATTGAGTTTGGTCTCTAAAACGCTGGTCTAACTATGACGGTGAGAAGAGAGGTGCATTTAAGAAAGGCAAACTTTTATTATACAATTTAAGTCAGCCTAGTCTTTTCTTAAAAAGGAAATTATCTAAAATATGTGAAACTGAGGTCTGCAAACTATTTGAGTGACCTTGGAAGTAAATTTTTGATTCTTTTTCAGCCTTAAGAATATGACAGTCCTGATTGACAGCTACAAAATGAAACCTCACAAGAGACCCTGAGCCAGAACCACACAGCTAATTAAGGCATTCTCAGATTTCTTTCAGAAAATGCTAGGTAATAAATATTTGTTGCTTAGGTTTGGGGTAATTTGCTTGACAGCAATATATGAGGAAAACAATATGTATTCTCTGTTCTGAAAAAAATGTGACTCAAGAAAGACAAAATGTTGAAAATACTTTGGGCTATAGAAGGACATTTTTAAAAATTTAATATGACTTGAGTCCAAAGATATTAAAACAACAGATTTAGGTAAGCAAATGTACCAAAGTAACACCATGACAAAGATAATAAATAATTTAGAAACAACATATATGGAACAGAGAGCTAGGAACTGAGTTGTCGACAAAGAGGAGATAATCACACTGGGAATTAAGAGTGAAAAAGCGGACAAAGAAAAGACATAGGCTAAATCAACTAAATAATAACATGCATGAATAAAAGACAAATACAACCAAAATATGAATCACTTATAACTAAAAAATAAAACCAAACCAAAACGTTTTCCAACTATGTATAAATCAAAATTTTACAGGAATAAATAAAAAATTTAATCCATAGTTTGAAAAGTATATTGCTTTCCAAAGAAAACTTTTATGAATGTGTTGACAATAAAATGTTTACTAATTAAATTACTATTTAAGGACAAAGAAAATAGTACTTGAATATAAAGAAAGAAATCAATCATGAGGAGAGAAATATTCAGTTAGCCTCAAGAATTACCACAGCAACACACAATAACATTTATGCAATGTAGCAATGACCATGAAGTACCAAGTGAAAGTGTGACCTAAAAATAGAATGCACAGCTACATTCTCATTCAGGTATAAAGGCAACTGACAGATATTCTCAAACATGAAAGAATTCCAAAAATACGGCATCCATTAGACCACATTTGGAAAATAAGTTTTATAAAGAGCTCGACTACACTACGTAATTCAGACAAGCAAGAAATAAAAAGGCCAGTTATCATACTGACTCAATTTCATACAGATCTAATGCTGCTATAGGTCAGAGCTAGAGTTAAAGACACATAGCACAGTGACCCTGCCCTCCTGAAACATTTCACCTAAAACCCAAAGCCTTCTGTAAACCCAACCCCCACAGGCCTGTGATAGTCCCTTGGGTTTCCACCACCTAAGTGTGCTGCCTGCCACTGACTGAGAGCATGGCTTCAGACCTAGGGACCA